ATTTTCTTTAGTGAAGACTGTTATACGATCCATTTTCTATTGAGAAGACTATTTTACGAAAGTTAGTCTATAGAGAAATCTGTATACGATCACGTTTCTATAGAGAAAACTGTTATACGTCCAATTTCCTATAAAGAAAACGGTTATACATCTAATTTACTATAGAGAAAGCTGTTATATTTTGCTATAAAGAAAACTGTTATACCACCAGTTTTTTATGTATATAACTGTTATAAGACCCATTTTCTATAGAAATTTATAGAAAAACTGTTATACAACCAATATTATATAGAGAAAACTGTTATATGATCAATTTTCTGTAGAGAGCGACTTCTATTTTATAGAGGAAACTGTTATACGACAGTTTTTCGTGGAGAAAATTGTTATACGAGCTATTTTCTATAGATGAAACTGTTATACGTCCAACTTTCTATAGAGCAAAACTGTTATACCACCAATTTTGTATGTATATAACTGTTATACGTTAATTTTTCTACAGAAAAAAGCAGTTATACGACCAATTTTATAAATAAAACTGTTATACGACTTATATTCTATACAGAAAACTATATTACGACAGTTTTTCTGTATATAAAACTGTTATATGACCATGTTTTTAACTGTAATACGACCATTTTTATATAGTGAACACTATTTACTTTATAAAAAACTGTTATACTACTTATATTCTATAGAGAAAACTATTATACCAATTAAATTTTTATAAATATTTTCATCACAATTCGCTCGTTCTTACAATTAAAAAAAGTACATTATTAATCTAAAAAATACAATTTTTATAATTTTTCTCTCTTTACAAAACTTTTGTTTATAGGATTATGATTACTATGATCGTAGATTCGAAGATACACGCGATTTATTCGAACGTCGTTATCAGGGATCGCGTATGCGTGATTTCCCACCACCACCACTATCGAGACGTGATCCAATGCCTTTGCCACCACCGTTGAGTGGCAGCTTAAGAGGTGGTAGTTTATCACGTGGTTATGACAGCATGTTTAGCAGACGATCACCACCACCCTCACGTGGCAGCAATGGCATGGGTCGTTATGGCGGGTTAGTATTTAAATATTTTAAAAAATGTTTCATATTTTAAATAATCATTTCCGTTATTTTCTCTTTTTTTCAATTAGTTATGAAGATTTTAGTCGTGATTCATTTGACGATCGTATGATGTCTTCGCGTAATATGCGTGGTCCCTCACCACCCGGTCGCCGTTATGCACCGTACTGAGATGAACTGTATTCGTATTATTTAAATAGTGGTTTCAAAACCAGCACCAACACTAATACCCGACATTGAGTTTGTTTATTTTTTATTAACAATGGTCATAGATAGAGGAGATAGACAGACAGTTAATTAGTAACTCAACATGTTTTTACTTTTATAATTTATAATTATATAAAAAATTAGGGGTTTTCTCTTAATTGTTTTGAAAACAGAATAATATTTATTTTGTTTGCAATCATTTAATTAATACCCTTTTTTGTAAAATTTCCTTTTGTTATAAGGAATTAGTTTTTTGTCATTTTTAAAAAAAATTTTCTCAAGGTGTTTTAGTTTGTACAAAAACCTTCTAGATTTGTCCTTTTCTTTTTTTGGTCCATTTTTTTCTCCTTAGTTTGTAGTTTTATTAAAACTAAAACAAAATAATTATTAAACAAGAATTAAACTTAAAAACACTAACCAATCCCCCCTCCCTACCACTTGGTTTTAAAAGATGGCAAGAAGAAAAAAAATCATACATTAAAAACCTAAATTAAGAATTTTAGTGGAATAAATAAAATGATCAAATATCTCAAAGACAGTTTTCAAATTACATAATTATATTATAGTAGATAATACATTTTAAGAATTTGCATTATGTAAATAATATACAACAACATCAAATAAAATCTATCATACATACAAAAACAAAACAAAAAATAATTAAAAAATAAATACACAAATACTTTTTGTGAAAAAAAAAAACAACATGAAAGACTTTTATTAAAAGAAAAAAACGTAAACAACCAATTTTATATAGAGAAAACTGTTATACGGTAATATTTCTATAGAGAAAACAGTTAAACGACAAATTTTCCATAAGGAAACTGTTATACGATAATTTTTCTATAAATAAACATATATAGAAAACTTATACGACCAATTTTCTATAGAGAACACTGTTATACGGACATATTTCTATAGAGAAATCTGTTAAACGACAAATTTTCTATAGGGGAAGCTTTTATTAAATGAAGAAAACGTAAATTTCGTATAGATAAAAATATACGATAAATTTTCTATAGAGAAAACTGTTATACAGCAATATTTCTATAGAGAAAACTGATTAACGACTAGTTTTCTATAAGGGAAACTGTTATACGACCATTTTTCTATAGATAAATATAATTTACAATCAAATATCTATAGAGAAAACTTATTTTCTATACAGAAAACTATTATACCACTATTTTTCAGTAGAGAAAATTGTTATACGACCACATTTCTATAGAGAAAACTATTATACGACAAATTTTCTATGGAAAATAATGTGATACGATAAACTTTCTATAGAGAAAACTGATACACCACCAATTTTCTATAGAGAAAACTATTATACAACTATTTTTCTGTAGAGAAATTAGTTGTATCACCATTTTTTTATAGAGAAAACTATTATATGACAAATTTTTTATAATGAAAACTGTTATATAACCATTTATCTATCGAGAAAACTGTTATACAACAAATTCGAAGTAGAATACTGTTATACAACCAATTTCTTAAATAGAAAACTGTTATACGACAAATTTTTTTATAAAGAAATCTTTTATACAACCATTTTTCTATAGAGAAAACTGTTACAAGAACAATGTTCTATATAGAAAACTGTTATACGACAATCTTTTTATAAAGAATACATTTTTTTATAGAGAAAACTGTTTTACGAAAAATTTTCTTAAGAAAAAACTGTTATATCACTATATTTCTGTAGAAAAAATTGTCATACGACCGCTTTTCTATAGAGAAAATTGCTATATGACAAATTTCTATGGAGAAAGCTATTATACAATTATTTTTCTGTAGAGAAAATAGTTATACCATCATTTTCTGTAGAGAAAACTATTATACGACAAATTTTTTATAAAGAAAACTGTTATATAACCATTTTTCTATCGAGAAAACTTATATACAATAAATTCGAAGTAGAATACTGTTATACGACCAATTTTCTATATAAATATACTGATCAAGAAGCAAACTAGAACTGATCTAGAATAAAACTGTAACTGATCTAGAAGTAAACTAGAACTGATCTAGAATAAAACTAGAACTGATCTAGAATAAAACTAGAACCGATCTGAAAGTAAACTAGAACTGATGTTGAAGTAAACTAGAACTGATCTAGAAGTAAACTACAACTGATCTAGAATAAAAATAGAACTGATCTAGAAGTAAACTAAAACAGCTCTAGAAGTAAACTAGAACCGATCTAGAAGTAAACTACAACTGATCTAGAATAAAACTAGAACTGATCTAGAAGTAAGCTAGAACTGATGTAAAAGTAAACTATAACTGATCTAGAAGTGAACTACAACTGATCTAGTATGAATATAGAACTGATGTAGAAGCAAACTACAACTGATCTAGAATAAATATAGAACTGATCTAAAAGTAAACTAGAACTGATCTAGAATAAAACTAGAACTGATCTAGAAATAAACTAGAACTGATCTAGAAGTAAACTAGAACTGATCTAGAAGTAAACTACAACTGATCTAGAATAAAACTAGAACTGATCTAGAAGTAAACTAGAACTGATCTAGAATGAAACTAGAACTGATCTAGAAGTAAACTAGAACAGATCTAGAAGTAAACTAGAACAGATCTAGAAGTAAACTAGAACTGATCTAGAAGTAAACTAGAACAGATCTAGAAGTAAACTAGAACCGATCTAGAAGTAAACTAGAACAGATCTAGAAGTAAACTAGAACCGATCTAGAAGTAAACTACAACTGATCTAGAATAAAACTAGAACTGATCTAGAAGTAAACTAGAACTGATCTAGAATAAAACTAGAACTGATCTAGAAGTAAACTAGAAGAGATCTAGAAGTAAACTAGAACCGATCTAGAAGTAAACTAGAACTGATCTAGAATAAAACTAGAACTGATATAGAAGTAAACAACTGATCGAGAATAAAACTAGAACTGATCTAGAAGTAAGCTAGAACTGATATAGAAGTAAACTACAACTGATCTAGAAGTAAACTACAACTGATCTAGAATAAAACTAGAACTGATCTAGAAGTAAACTAGAACTGATCTAGAATAAAACTAGAACTGATCTAGAAGTAAACTAGAACTGATCTAGAATGAAACTAGAACTGATCTAGAAGTAAACTAGAACAGATCTAGAAGTAAACTAGAACCGATCTAGAAGTAAACTAGAACTGATCTAGAAGTAAACTAGAACAGATCTAGAAGTAAACTAGAACCGATCTAGAAGTAAACTAGAACTGATCTAGAATAAAACTAGAACTGATATAGAAGTAAACAACTGATCGAGAATAAAACTAGAACCGATCTAGAAGTAAACTAGAACTGATCTAGAAGTAAGCTAGAACTGATCTAGAAGTAAACTAGAACTGATCTAGAAGTAAACTACAACTGATCTAGAAGTAAACTAGAACTGATCTAAAACTAATCCAGATCTAAACTAGAACCAAATGAAACTACATATCAACTTAATCCAAATTAAAACACAAAATTACTCTGTTGTTAGAGAAAAAAAAAAGAAAATCGCAAAATTTTTTTTATTTATTAAAGTTTTTTGTTTTTAAATGTATTTTGTTTTTCCAAATTATGAGACCTTAAATTATTAACGAAAAATAAATGTATGTAATAATTAAAATTAATAAAAAAAAATATAACGTAAAATATATAATATATAAAAAAACGATATTTATATAAGAATAAAAAAATGATAAACATTTTTTGTATATAACAGCAAAAAAAAAAAAAAAAAATAATAAAATAAGATAAAATGCAAGCGACAATATACATACAGAAATCATGAGAAAAACCAGCAATGAACAAAAATGAAAATTTAAGAATTCATTGAGAGTCTTATACTAAGCTAAAAGTATGTCATTTAAAATAACATATAATAAAATGTTCTTCTCGCAAATTTTTCTTTCTTGAACTTAAGATTAGTGTATGTATTTATTTTTTTTATTGATCTATTGATATACCAAAAAATTCTCGGTTTGGGTAATTTTCTGTGCAAATGCTTTGCCCATTTCGGTGGGTGCACTAAAGGCAATTTTATCCAGTTGCACTTCTTCACCAAATATTGTATTTAATTGCACAGCTTGTATTAGTTTGGCACCAATGTGAAAACGTCGATGCAGAGGAGAGACCCAGATTCGGGAGATGCCGCATCTGAAAAGAGAACATAGAATTATTTTGATGAAAAATTCACCTACAACTCCTCTGGAAGTAAACTAGAACTGATCGTGATGTAAACTTGAATTGATCTAGAAATAAACTACAACTGATCTTGAAGCAAACTAGAACTGATCTTAAAGTAAACTCGAACTAATCTCGAACTCAAACTCAAACAGATTTAGAAGTAAACTCAAAATGATCTAGGAGCAAACTCGAACTAGAAGTAAACTCGAATTGATCTTGAAGTGAACTCGAACTGATCCAGAAGTAAACTAGAACTGGACTGGAACTGAACTAGAACAGAACTGAACCACAACTAACTAGAACTGAACTAGAACTGAACTAGAACCTGAACTAGAACTGAACTAGAAATGAATTAGAACTGAACTAGAACTGAACTAGAACTGAACTAGAACTGAACTAAAACTGAACTAAAACTGAACTAGAACTGAACTAGAACTGAACTAGAACTGAACTAGAACTGAACTAGAACTGAACTAGAACTGAACTAGAACTGAACTAGAACTGAACTAGAACTGAACTAGAACTGAACTAGAACTGAACTAGAACTGAACTAGAACTGAACTAGAACTGAACTAGAACTGAACTAGAACTGAACTAGACTGAACTAGAACTGAACTAGAACTGAACTAGAACTGAACTAGAACTGAACTAGAACTGAACTAGAACTGAACTAGAACTGAACTAGAACTGAACTAGAACTGAACTAGAACTGAACTAGAACTGAACTAGAACTGAACTAGAACTGAACTAGAACTGAACTAGAACTGAACTAGAACTGAACTAGAACTGAACTAGAACTGAACTAGAACTGGAACTGAACTAGAACTGGAACTGAACTAGAACTGAACAAGAACTGAAATAGAACTGAACTTAAACTGAACTAGAACTGAACTTAAAATGAACTAGAACTGAACTAGAACTGAACTAGAACTGAACTAGAACTGAACTAGAACAGAACTAGAACTAGAACTAGAACTGAACTAGAACTGAACTAGAACTGAACTAGAACTGAACTAGAACTGAACTAGAACTGAACTAGAACTGAACTAGAACTGAACTAGAACTGAACTAGAACTGAACTAGAACTGAACTAGAACTGAACTAGAACTGAACTAGAACTGAACTAGAACTGAACTAGAACTGAACTAGAACTGAACTAGAACTGAACTAGAACTGAACTAGAACTGAACTAGAACTGAACTAGAACTGAACTAGAACTGAACTAGAACTGAACTAGAACTGAACTAGACTGAACTGAACTAGAACTGAACTAGAACTGAACTAGAACTGGAACTGAACTAGAACTGAACTAGAACTGAAATAGAACTGAAATAGAACTGAACTTAAACTGAACTAGAACTGAACTAGAACTAGAACTAGAACTGAACTAGAACTGAACTAGAACTGAACTAGAACTGAACTAGAACTGAACTAGAACTGAACTAGAACTGAACTAGAACTGAACTAGAACTGAACTAGAACTGAACTAGAACTGAACTAGAACTGAACTAGAACTGAACTAGAACTGAACTAGAACTGAACTAGAACTGAACTAGAACTGAACTAGAACTGAACTAGAACTGAACTAGAACTGAACTAGAACTGAACTGAACTGAACTAGAACTGAACTAGAATTGAACTAGAACTGAACTAGAACTGGAATAGAACTGAACTAGAAGAACTGAACAAGAACTGAAATAGAACTGAACTTAACTGAACTGAACTGAAACTGAACTAAACTGAACTAGAACTGAACTAGAACTGAACTAGAACTGAACTAGAACTGACTAGAACTGAACTAGAACTGAACTAGAACTGAACTAGAACTGAACTAGAACTGAACTAGAACTGAACTAGAACTGAACTAGAACTGAACTAGAACTGAACTAGAACTGAACTAGAACTGAACTAGAACTGAACTAGAACTGAACTAGAACTGAACTAGAACTGAACTAGAACTGAACTGTAGAAACTGAACTGAACTGAACTAGAACTGAACTAGAACTGAACTAGAACTGAACTAGAACTGAACTAGAACTGAACTAGAACTGAACTAGAACTGAACTAGAACTGAACTAGAACTGAACTAGAACTGAACTAGAATTGAACTAGAACTGAACTAGAACTGAACTAGAACTGAACTAGAATTGAACTAGAACTGAACTAGAACTGACTAGAACTGAACTAGAACTGAACTAGAACTGAACTAGAACTGAACTAGAACTGAACTAGAACTGAACTAGAACTGAAACTAGAACTGAACTAGAACTGAACTAGAACTGAACTAGAACTGAACTAGAACTGAACTAGAAACTGAACTAGAACTGAACTAGAACTGAACTAGAACTGAACTAGAACTGAACTAGAACTGAACTAGAACTGAACTAGAACTGAACTAGAACTGAACTAGAACTGAACTAGAACTGAACTAGAACTGAACTAGAACTGAACTAGAACTGAACTAGAACTGAACTAGAACTGAACTAGAACTGAACTAGAACTGAACTAGAACTGAACTAGAACGACTAGAACTGAACTAGAACTGACTAGAAATGAACTAGAACTAGAACTGAACTAGAACTGGAACTGAACTAGAACTGGAACTGAACTAGAACTGAACAAGAACTGAAATAGAACTGAACTTAAACTGAACTAGAACTGAACTTAAACGACTGAACTAGAACTGAACTAGAACTGAACTAGAACTGACTAGAACTGAACTAGAACTGAACTAGAACTGAACTAGAACTGAACTAGAACTGAAACTAGAACTGAACTAGAACTGAACTAGAACTGAACTAGAACTGAACTAGAACTGAACTAGAACTGAACTAGAACTGAACTAGAACTGAACTAGAACTGAACTAGAACTGAACTAGAACTGAACTAGAACTGAACTAGAACTGAACTAGAACTGAACTAGAACTGAACTAGAACTGAACTAGAACTGAACTAGAACTGAACTAGAACTGAACTAGAACTGAACTAGAACTGAACTAGAACTGAACTAGAACTGAACTAGAACTGAACTAGAACTGAACTAGAACTGAACTAGAACTGAAACTAGAACTGAACTAGAACTGAACTAGAACTGAACTAGAACTGAACTAGAAACTGAACTAGAACTGAACTAGAACTGAACTAGAACTGAACTAGAACTGAACTAGAACTGAACTAGAACTGAACTAGACTGAACTAGAACTGAACTAGAACTAGAACTGAACTAGAACTGAACTGAACTAGAACTGGAACTGAACTAGAACTGAACAAGAACTGAAATAGAACTGAACTTAAACTGAACTAGAACTGAACTTAAACTGAACTAGAACTGAACTGAACTGAACTATAACTGAACTAGAACTGAACTAGAACTGAACTAGAACTGAACTAGAACTGAACTAGAACTGAACTAGAACTGAACTAGAACTGAACTAGAACTGAACTAGAACTGAACTAGAACTGAACTAGAACTAGAACTGAACTAGAACTGGAACTGAACAGAACTGGAACTGAACTAGAACTGGAACTGAACTAGAACTGAACTGAACTAGAACTGAACAAGAACTGAATAGAACTGAACTAAACTGAACTAGAACTGAACTACTGAACTAGAATGAACTAGAACTGAACTAGAACTGAACTAGAACTGAACTAGAACTGAACTAGAACTGAACTAGAACTGAACTAGAAACTGAACTAGAACTGAACTAAACTAGAACTGAACTAGAACTGAACCTAGAACTGAACTAGAACTGAACTAGAACTGAACTAGAACTGAACTAGAACTGAACTAGAACTGAACTAGAACTGAACTAGAACTGAACTAGAACTGAACTAACTAGAACTGAACTAGACTGAACTAGAACTGAACTAGAACTGAACTAGAACTGAACTAGAACTGAACTAGAACTGAACTAGAACTGAACTAGAACTGAACTAGAACTGAACTAGAACTGAACTAGAACTGAACTAGAACTGAACTAGAACTGAACTAGAACTGAACTAGAACTGAACTAGAACTGAACTAGAATGAACTAGAACTGAACTAGAACTGAACTAGAATTGAACTAGAACTGAACTAGAACTGAACTAGAACTGAACTAGAACTGAACTAGAACTGAACTAGAACTGAACTAGAACTGAACTAGAACTGAACTAGAACTGAACTAGAAATGAACTAGAACTGAACTAGAACTGAACTAGAACTGAACTAGAACTGAACTAGAACTGAACTAGAACTGAACTAGAACTGAAACTAGAACTGGAACTAGAACTGAACTAGAAACTGAACTAGAACTGAACTAGAACTGAACTAGAACTGAACTAGAACTGAACTAGAACTAGAACTGAACTAGAACTGAACTAGAACTGAACTAGAACTGAACTAGAACTGAACTAGAACTGGAACTGAACTAGAACTGAACTAGAACTAGAACTGAACTAGAACTGAAATAGAACTGAACTAGAACTGAACTTAAACTGAACTTAAACTGAACTAGAACTGAACTAGAACTGAACTAGAACTGAACTAGAACTGAACTAGAACTGAACTAGAACTGAACTAGAACTGAACTAGAACTGAACTAGAACTGAACTAGAACTGAACTAGAACTGAACTAGAACTGAACTAGAACTGAACTAGAACTGAACTAGAACTGAACTAGAACTAGAACTGAACTAGAACTGGAACTGAACTAGAACTGGAACTGAACTAGAACTGAACAAGAACTGAAATAGAACTGAACTTAAACTGAACTAGAACTGAACTTAAACCGAACTAGAACTGAACTAGAACTGAACTAGAACTGAACTAGAACTGAACTAGAACTGAACTAGAACTGAACTAGAACTAGAACTGAACTAGAACTGAACTAGAACTGAAACTAGAACTGAACTAGAACTGAACTAGAACTGAACTAGAACTGAACTAGAACTGAACTAGAACTGAACTAGAACTGAACTAGAACTGAACTAGAACTGAACTAGAACTGAACTAGAACTGAACTAGAACTGAACTAGAACTGAACTAGAACTGAACTAGAACTGAACTAGAACTGAACTAGAACTGAACTAGAAAACTGAACTAGAACTGAACTAGAACTGAACTAGAACTGAACTAGAACTGAACTAGAACTGAACTAGAACTGAACTAGAACTGAACTAGAACTGAACTAGAACTGAACTAGAACTGACTAGAACTGAACTAGAACTGAACTAGAACTGAATCTAACTAACTGAACTAGGAACTGAACTAGAACTGAACTAGAACTGAACTAGAACTGAACTAGAATTGAACTAGAACTGAACTAGAACTAAACTAGAGCTCAACTAGAATTTATTTAGAAATGGAAACAAATTTTAAAACAATCACTTACTTAGCCTCAAATTGTTCCTCCGTACAGCAATCGACACCATTAACACACAATATTTATTCGCCTTATCCAGTGGCTGTACCAGACATAAACCCACAATTTGCATCTTACGAACAGCAAAATAGGCGACAAATGTTTTTGGCACAATATACGATGAAAAACCCAATTCTTTATCGACAATCTTTAAATATCCATCAGACGTTCACGTCGTTTAGGAGGTGATGACTCGGTCAAACGTAAATACGACCATCCGGTCCCCACTCTGGATAAATTGCCACAATATCCTCATCAATCCAACCCTTAAAACGTAAAATATGTAAAGAAGCATGAAAATCTCGATGTAATTTCTCCTCCTCGGGTTCATGAACAGTATAGACTAAACCACATTGTTTGCACTGATGAGCACCGAATGATTTTTGACCGGCATCAATTTGATATTGATTACTGCCATAGCCAGCATTCCAAGCACGTTGCTGCTGTTTGCGTCTGGTGGAAGGCAGATTAAGGGGTTGACAACCGCCCGGATAGAAAACTGGAAATAGTTTCTGTTGTTGTTGCGTTTCATTAAGCTGTGGCGTTTCTAGGGCGGCAGCACCACTAAGGGTAGGTAGATTGTTGTAATATTTAAGGCTGTTGTAGGTGTGGGTGTTTGTAAAAGTTGTTCAGGTAAAGTTGTAATATTATTGTTAATTGTATTTGCTGTAGAAGTTCCATAAGTATTATCTGTTTTATAACTATTTGTACTTAAAATTCATGTTTTGTTTTTCAGCTGACAATAGTTGATTACCAGCAGCTAATGGTGCATTTAGATTTTCATTATATTGTCCATTAACGCCTGTTAAATATTGCGCAATGATAGCATCTGCTTCCGCCTTTCTCTGGCCATAATTCGCTATAAATATATCAAAATTTTCCTCTGTGCAAATATTATTTTCCAATAGAAAATCCAAATAACTATGCTGCTGTTCTATTAGCTCTGGATCTGTGGTATTATAGGGTATTCTCTGACGAAAATCGGTATTCTGATGATCCGTCACAACTATGACTAACTCAATCAATAATTCTTTCAGCCTCTGCTTTGTGATTATCTGGATCGGCTATGAAAATATTGAAATTTTCTTCGGTGCAAATGTTATTGGTAATTAAGAAGTCCAATAGTAAATGCTGACGTTCAATAATTTCCGGATCGTTGGTATTATAGGGTAATCTTTTTACGAAAATCATTAAAATCTTGATTGTCCTGTAGAACAATATCGTCGATTAGGTTCGACGATGATTCTTCTTCATTCATTAAGGCCAATTGTTGATCGATTTCATCTAAGAAGGCATTATTGTCGTTGCTGTTGAGGTTGGAATTTTCATCTTCATTCTCATCTTTGGGCACAATAATGTCACCGAATGCGGTGTCATCCAAGTTACGCAAAATAGCATCAACAGTAGCCTGTTCATCGGAGAATTCATTGGTGACTGCAAGAAAATAAATAAAAAATATGATTATTAGAAAAATCTTATATTAAACTAAATAAAAACTAAATCACAACTAAAACTGAACTAGATTTGAACTAGAACTGAACTAGAACTGAGCTTAGAACTGAACTAGAACTGAACTAGAACTGAACTAGAAACTGAACTAGAACTGAACTAGAACTGAATTAGAACTGAACTAGAACTAAACTAGAAACTGAACTAGAACTGAACTAGAACTGAACTAGAACTGAACTAGAACTGAACTAGAACTGAACTAGAACTGAACTAGAACTGAACTAGAACTGAACTAGAACTGAACTAGAACTGAACTAGAACTGAACTAGAACTGAACTAGAACTGAACTAGAATTGAACTGAACTAGAACTGAATTAGAACTGAACTAGACTGAAACTAGAACTGAACTAGAACTGAACTAGAACTAAACTAGAACATGACTGAACTAGAACTGAACTAGAACTGAACTAGAACTGAACTAGAACTGAACTAGAACTGATAGAACTAGAACTGAACTAGACTGAACTAGAACTGAACTAGAACTGAACTAGAACTGAACTAGAACTGAACTAGAACTGAACTAGAACTGAACTAGAACTGAACTAGAACTGAACTAGAAATGAACTAGAACTGAACTAGAACTGAACTAGAACTGAACTAGAACTGAACTAGAACTGAACTAGAACTGAACTAGAACTGAACTAAACTGAACTAGAAACTGAACTAGAACTGAACTAGAACTGAACTAGAACTGAACTAGAACTGAACTAGAACTGAACTAGAACGAACTAGAACTGAACTAACTGAAACTAGAACTGAACTAAACTAACTAGAACTGAACTAAACTAACTAGAACTAGAACAGAACTAGAACTAGAACTAGAACTAGAAACTGAACTAGAACTAGAACTGAACTAGAAACTGAACTAGAACTGAACTAGGAACTGAACTAGAATTGAACTAGACTGACTAGACTGAACTAAACTAAACTAGAACTGAACTAAACTAGAACTGAACTAGACAGAACTAGAACTAGAACTGAACTAGAACTGAACTAGAACTGAACTAGAACTGAACTAGAACTGAACTAGAACTGAACTAGAACTGAACTAGAATTGAACTAGAACTGAACTAGAACTGAACTAGAACTGAACTAGAACTGAACTAGAACTGAACTAGAACTGAACTAGAACTGAACTAGAACTGAACTAGAACTGAACTAGAACTGAACTAGAACTGAACTAGAACTGAACTAGAACTGAACTAGAACTGAACTAGAACTGAACTAGAACTGAACTAGAACTGAACTAGAACTGAACTAGAACTGAACTAGAACTGAACTAGAACTGAACTAGAACTGAACTAAAACTGAACTAGAACTGAACTAGAACTGAACTAGAACTGAACTAGAACTGAACTAAACTAAACTAGAACTGAACTAAACTAGAACTGAACTAGAACAGAACTAGAACTAGAACTGAACTAGAACTGAACTAGAACTGAACTAGAACTGAACTAGAACTGAACTAGAATTGAACTAGAACTGAACTAGAACTGAACTAGAACTGAACTAGAACTGGAACTAGAACTGACTAGAACTGAACTAGAACTGAACTAGAACTGAACTAGAACTGAACTAGAACTGAACTAGAACTGAACTAGAACTGAACTAGAACTGAACTAGAACTGAACTAGAACTGAACTAGAACTGAACTAGAACTGAACTAGAACTGAACTAGAACTGAACTAGAATTGAACTGAACTAGAACTGAATTAGAACTGAACTAGAACTGAACTAGAACTGAACTAGAACTGAACTAGAACTAAACTAGAACAGAACTAGAACTGAACTAGAACTGAACTAGAACTGAACTAGAACTGAACTAGAACTGAACTAGAACTGAACTAGAACTGAACTAGAACTGAACTAGAACTGAACTAGAACTGAACTAGAATTGAACTAGAACTGAACTAGAACTGAACTAGAACTGAACTAGATCTGAACTAGAACTGAACTAGAACCTGAACTAGAACTGAACTAGAACTGAACTAGAACTGAACTAGAACTGAACTAAACTAAACTAGAACTGAACTAAACTAGAACTGAACTAGAACAGAACTAGAACTAGAACTGAACTAGAACTGAACTAGAACTGAACTAGAACTGAACTAGAACTGAACTAGAATTGAACTAGAACTGAACTAGAACTGAACTAGAACTGAACTAGAACTGAACTAGAACTGAACTAGAACTGAACTAGAACTGAACTAGAACTGAACTAGAACTGAACTAGAACTGAACTAGAACTGAACTAGAACTGAACTAGAAACTGAACTAGAACTGAACTAGAACTGAACTAGAACTGAACTAGAACTGAACTAGAACTGAACTAGAACTGAACTAGAACTGAACTAAACTAGAACTGAACTAACAGAATTAAACTAGAACTGAACTAGAACCTGAACTAGAACTGAACTAGAACTGAACTAGACTACTGAACTAGAACTGAACTAGAACTGAACTAGAACTGAACTAGAACTGAACTAGGAACTGAACTAGAAACTGAACTAGAACTGAACTAGACTGAACTAGACTAGAACGAACTAGATCTGAACTAGAACTGACTAGAACTGAACTAGAACTGAATTAGAACTGAACTAGAACTGAACTAGAGAACTGAACTAGAACTGAACTAGAACTGAACTAAAACTGAACTAGAACTGAACTAGAACTGAACTAGAACTGAATTAGAAATTGAACTAGAACTGAACTAGAACTGAACTAGAACTGAACTAGAACTGAACTAGAACTGAACTAGAACTGAACTAGAACTGAACTAGAACTGAACTAGAACTGAACTAGAACTGAACTGAACTAGAACTGACTAGAACTGAACTAGAACTGAACTAGAACTGAACTAGAACTGAACTAGAACTGAACTAGAACTGAACTAGAACTGAACTAGAACTAAACTAGAACTGAACTAGACTGAACTAGAACTACACTGGGACTAAAATAGAACTGAACTAGAACTACACTGGGACTAAACTAGAACTGAACTAGAATTGAACTAGAACTGAACTAGAACTGAACTAGAACTGAACTAGATCTGAACTAGAACTGAACTAGAACTGAACTAGAACTGAACTAGAACTGAACTAGAACTGAACTAGAACTGAACTAAACTAAACTAGAACTGAACTAAACTAGAACTGAACTAGAAACAGAACTAGAACTAGAACTGAACTAGAACTAGAACTGAACTAGAACTGAACTAGAACTGAACTAGAACTGAACTAGAATTGAACTAGAACTGAACTAGAACTGAACTAGAACTGAACTAGAACTGAACTAGAACTGAACTAGAACTGAACTAGAACTGAACTAGAACTGAACTAGAACTGAACTAGAACTGAACTAGAACTGAACTAGAACTGAACTAGAACTGAACTAGAACTGAACTAGAACTGAACTAGAACTGAACTAGAACTGAACTAGAACTGAACTAAACTAGAACTGAACTAGAACAGAATTAGAACTAGCACTGACTAGACTGACTAGAACTAGAACTAGAACTGAACTAGAACTGAACTAGAACTGAACTAGAACTGAACTAGAACTGACTAGAACTGAACTAGAACTGAACTAGAACTGAACTAGAACTGACTAGAACCTGAACTAGACTGAACTAGACTGAACTAGAACTGACTAGAACTGAACTAGAACTGAACTAGATCTGGACAAAGACTGAACTAGAACTGAACTAGATCTGAACTAGAACTGCACTAGAACTGAACTAGAACTGAATTAGAACTGAACTAGAACTGAACTAGAACTGAACTAGAACTGAACTAGAACGAACTGAACTAGAACTGAACTAGAACTGAACTTAGAAGCTGAACTAGAACTGAACTAGAACTGAACTAGAACTGAACTAAGAATGAACTAGAACTGAACTAAACTGAACTAGAACTGAACTAGAACTGAACTAGGAACTGAACTGAACTAGAACTGAACTAGAACTGAACTAGAACTTGAAACTAGAACTGAACTAGACTGAACTAGAACTGAACTAGAACTGAACTAGAACTGAACTAGAACTGACTAGACTAAACTAGAACTGAACTAGACTGAACTAGAACCTACACTGGGACTAAATAGAACTGAACTAGAACTACACTGGGACTAAACTAGAACTGACTAGAACTAAACTAAAGCTGAACTAGAACTGAACTAGAACTGAACTAGAACTGAACTAGACTGAACTAGAACTGAACTAGACTGAACTAGAACTGAACTAGAACTGAACTAGGACGAACTAGAACTGAACTAGAACTGAACTAGAACTGAACTAGAACTGAACTAAAACTGACCTAGAACTGAACTAGAACTGAACTAGAACTGAATTAGAATTGAACTAGAACTGATTACTAGAACTGAACTAGAACTGAATAAACGAACTAGAACTGAACTAGAACTGATAAACGAACTAGAACTGAACTAGAACTGAACTAGAACTAGAACTGAACTAGAACTGAACTAGAACTGAACTAGAACTGAACTAGAACTGAACTAGAACTGAACTAGAACTGAACTAGAACTGAACTAGAACTGAACTAGAACTAAACTAGAACTGAACTAAGACTGAACTAGAACTACACTGGGACTAAAATAGAACTGAACTAGAACTACACTGGGACTAAACTAGAACTGAACTAGAACTAAACTAAAGCTGAACTAGAACTTAACTAGAACTGAACTAAAACTGAACTAGAACTGAACTAGAACTGAACTAGAACTGAACTAGAACTGAACTAGAACTGAACTAGAACTGAACTAGAACTGAACTTGAACTGAACTAGAACTGTACTAGAACTGAACTAGAACTGAGCTAGAATTGAATTAAAATAGAACTGAACTAGAACTGACATAGGACTGTATTGTATTCTATTGGAAACTATTTATATTCCAATCAGAATTCTTATTTCTTCTACCAATTATTCTTAAAATCCAAATAATCTTTCACCCACCTGAATTACGTATCTTAATGCGCCGCTTGACTTTCTTCTTTTCCGGCACAATCGACAATTTGCCATTGGCTGTTACCATGGCCTTTATATTATCCGTTATATGAACCTCTTTGCGTGTAGTAGTACTACGACCTGATTTAAAGAATTTCCGCTTAACAGGCGCCGAACTATCTTCCGACTTAACCGATAAAGCATCATCTGCCTGATGGGTAATAAGTGGTATGACTTCTTCATTCATGGCCATAAGAGCATTCTCTAAATTACCCTTGTCATCGTCCTCATCGATAAACTCTTCCATATCACATTCAATATCTGAAAAATCAGTATCGTTTTGATAGGTGGACTGTGAAGATTCCGACGGTTTGTGCAGCTTAACGTCTTCTTCCTTGATGTTATTATTGTTAGAATCATCTTGTTGTGATATTGCACTTAAGGGACGTGCCATGGCTATGGGATTACTGGCTTGACGGAAAATGCTGTGGATTTTTTCGATTTGCTGCTTCTCCTCACGTTTGGCTGTAATGAGTTTGCGTAATTTTTCATTGCGTACATTGTTGAGTATGTGATCAATGTCGACGGGAGCATAGTGTTTGGGTGCCAACCCAAATGGGTGTGAACGTTTGCGTATTTTATGGTGTACACCACGATTAATGGAAGTGGCTTGCGAACCTAAGCTGCGTCTGTTAGTGGATGCTTTAGCCTTGTTTTGGGAGGGTGTATTTCCCCCACTGACAGTTTGACCAAATAAGTTTCTACAGCTGGCACGACCATTTGTGGGTGAGGTGGTTTTATTAATTTTACCCGAATAGAAGGACTTGGTAGAAATGGAGCCACCCTCTATGGGTGATATAGAAGTTTTGCCTTTCTTGCGCATGGGACTCAAACCAGTTGAACCCTCTATTTCACAATGTCTTTTAGTTAAACATTTTTTATTGGATCTAAGCCTAATGTCTTTCATTTCCTGTTCGTTTTCCTCATCTTCACTGGAAGTTTCATCTATTACTATGGGCGTTTTATCGCGTGGTGTAATTTGCATAGAATTGCTAAACATTTTCTGTAATTTCTTGTCTTCTTGCGACTCTTTGCGTGTGGGCGTTTTGAGGGGTATATTTTCTTTGTGAGGCGAAGTGGAAAATTCCCCTTCCGATTTACTAGAATTGGGTGATTTCTTCAAACTTAAACGAACACTACGCCTAGAAGGTGAAGGTTTCTGTTCTTCTGCCGTATCTCCACCATCTTCTGATTCGGTTTCAAAGAAACTTATAACGCGTGGCGATTTCTTACAAGAACCCATTAATGATTCCATAATTTTTGTACTTTTTGGCGTTTTACCAGTATTTCTAGACTTTCTACTAGCCAAGGGGGCTATTCCCTTAAGCATTTCATCTTCCCCATCAGCCTCGAGTTCATTGTCTTTCTGTGTTGTACTGCCAAAAAGTTTCTTTTTACGTTCCGATAATCTGGGAGTGTGATTACGCATTGTGCGTATTTGTTGACGAGCACTTTTAGGTGTCTCCATAATTGACATCTTTTTCACTAGATAACATGAATTAAAATAACAATAAATCAATAAAAAACACTTTTGTTCTTGAACGTGGCAACTTTTTCTACACGGATTTTTCTAATGTTGCATGAATATGTAGTAGAAAATTGATTCTTCTTGTAACATTGAGCGCGGATGTATTCTTTTTTTATTCACTTTGTACGATTAGTGGGATTGATCGACTAGTTTTAGCGCGAAGCAAGGCGAATTCAGATAAGGTGGTGTTATACAATCAGCTGTTTTATTTTTTTCTTCACTTGGCTGGTACGCACTGATGTCAGAGTTTGTTATTGTTTATGTCAGAGTTTGTTATTGTTTAGTTTTTTCCATCTACAACAAAGATTCTTTTATTCGGTATATAAATTTGACACCAGAGCGTACCAAATGCAAAAACAAATTACATGGAAATTTTTTGTTGTCGAACTGCCACCACCTTATCTGAATTCGCCTTGGACTAGTTTTAGCGCGAAGAAAGTTAACATGTGTTATTAGTTTAGAGTGAATGACATGTCATAATAAAAACACAAGGTTGCATTTTAAAAGTATCAAATAAATGGAATGCATTTAATTAAATTACTCATATTACTGTTAACTTTGAATTAAAAATTAAAATTTTTATGTTATTGTTAAATTAAATTAATTAAAAACTATTTAAATTTTTAATAAAATTTGTTTTGTTCATAAAAATTTGATATATATTTTATTGCTACTATTTTGAGTTTAGTACTTTTTTCAGCTAGCCGTTTAAAATAGTTGGCAACTTCAGTGACTTATTGTGGAAGTTGTTGAAGTCTCTTTTTTTTGTAACAGTTCACTATCAGTTTGTGTAGTCTTAAAGAAAATTAAAGTTTTTTGTTGTTAAATTAAAGTTTAAATTAAAAATTTTTGTTGTAATTAATTAATAAAGTGTTATATTGTGTTAAGCATATGAAATTTGTAGGTTTTGTAATGTTTTTCAAGTATTTTTTGTTAATTTTATATTTGTCTAAAAAAAAGCTTCAGTGAGTGTGTGCTAAAGTTGTAAAACAGGTGGCAAACTTGACATTTCTTACAAAAAAGGCGCCATTCTGGGAGGCTCTTGGAAAAAATTGTA